CCCGTGAAGTTTTTTTTTGTCTATAATCGCATTTGAGCGCATAGCCCCCAAAATGACACGAATCGGAGGCGCGCGTGGTTGCAAAGCTAATATATGCTGTACGGAAGACGGGTCAGTATCAATGATGCTACGAAATATACGTTGATCGGTGAGGAATCCCAGTGTAGCTAGAGTAAATACGCCTACTCACACATATTACCCATCTGCACGTCATCGCCGTGAGGCAGTCGACACATATCACCGATTGCGACGGTCGAATAGAGCAATGTTAATCAGCTCCGCGCGCGATGTATCTTTTAGGATAGGTAGTATTTGCCGACGGTCGCCACAAACATCAATATTATGCTTTAAAATTATTATGCTGAGCTGTTTGTGATGTTACTGAAGGGTATTTCCACTATCTTCCGCATACATTTATCTTACTTGCATAGCTGACGTACTTTCTGACTTACTGGCATACCTACTGACTGACAAAGTGGCGTAAATCCTTTCCAACTGACATTATACTGGGTCCGATATGTACGATAAAAGGCCTCGGTCAGATCGGACGAAGAAGCACCACTGCGTGCACATTCTTTCGACCGGCTGCAACATACGAAGATATATGGCTGTAGGCAGAGTATCAAATCGTAGTGATGGTTAGACTTGAATTGAATAATAGTTCATGTACATTAGATGGAGTACTTTCGCTGCCTACTTATCAGCTAGGCGTGCTATTTGATGTGTCTGTGCATATATCGCAAGGTCGTTAATGAGTGTATTCCACGCGCTCGTGATACCCAACCTATGCGTGGGGTCCCTATTTTCTTATCGGGACGTTTGCATCGTCGTGCTAGCTTTCTGTGCTTACGCTATTGATATTTTAGTCTGTATAATCAAGCGCGTCACTAACTGGGCACAGGCCATTCCGCAGCGATACAGGTATGCTGAACGCGCGTCTCTTAGCAGTAGCCAACGCGATATATACGCGCGAGGCGGGTACACCTTATAGTCATCCGCGACTCAACCAAG